TCTTTCCGGGCCGCCCGCGCCCCCGCGCGCCCGTACTCGTTATCAGCCGACCAGAATGATCGCCTTTGACGTGCAGCAGCCCACAGTCTGGGTCCGGCCGGGCCTGGCCGGGCCGGGTAGGGAGACAAAAGACGGACGGCCCGGTTTATCGGCACAACATGACGTTCTGACCCCGCCGGCCCAGTCAAGCGGGCCCGAGGCGGGGGGTTATGTGAGCGAGCCGGGCACTGCGCAACCAGACCGAGGCCGGGGCCCTCGCGGCCGCGGCGGTCGTCGCCCAGCTGCCGACGGTTACGCACCTTGGTCGGGGAGGCCGGCGGCGCGACGATCTTGGCGAGGTCCTCCTGGAGGCGGCCCCTGATCTTCTCGGCGTTGGAGCGGAGCCCCTCGCCGAACTTTTTGGCGCGCTCGGGCCCCTCCTTGAGCAGGGTCTCGAAGGCCTGGGCCAGGGGGCCCGGCTGCGTCGGCGGGGCCGCGGTGGTGGCGGGAGTGGCGGCGGCCGCGTCCTCGGGGGCGGGGGCCGCCGCCGCGAGCAGCAGCGCGCAGGCGAGCACGCCGACGAAGAGGGCCGTCATCGCAGAGTGCATGGTGTGGCTGGGCTGAGAGTCGCCGTGTGTCTGACGTGCAAGTGTGTGCGGGGGTTCGCCTCAACGCCGCGCCGCCGACCGTGGCCGTGGAGTAAGTACCGCGGGCCACCGGCCGGATGCGATTCGTGCGATCGCGAACCGCGTGCGCGGCTCTGCATCTCTCTCTGTCGCTCTGCCCCCTCCGCTGCCCCCTCCTCCGTGTACCCCGTCCCCACCACCCCAACTCGGAGCGCCATATCCGCGGGCGGGCCGGGCGCGGCCGCGCGGCCAGAGGAGGGGAACGGGTGTGGGGCTGCCTCACTGCCTCGTGCTCATGTGAACGTGCGTATACTACGGGCACCACGCCTTTTCCCTGCCCATGTGCAGCTTGTAAAACATAAAAAAAGAGGAATCGTGATATGAGCTACTTAAAAGGGGCAAAAGACTCGACGCCTTGGATGAGAAACTGCTGCCATCGTGGTAGTTTTGGGCCCCTTAACTCCAACTTCTTCGTTAGACCGGACCATTTCTGCATTTTGGGGGGAAACGTTCCCGTGCCCGTGACGACAGTCGGCCGGTCGCGCGGGCAAAGGTCCGCCCTGCCGCCGCCGCCGCGACCGCCCGCGACCGCCCGCGACCGCCCGCCACCGCCCGCCACCGCCAGCCAAAGCCACCGCCATCGAGAACAAATCGCTAGGAGATTGAAGTTTGCGATTCCGACACGATTTCCCAATTTGGTGGGCGTGGCGTGGCGTAGCGCGGCCGTGCATGGAGGCGGAGGCGTCGCGGGGCCTCCATTTGCTCTTGCTTACCTATGGCTATGGCGCGGCCGCGGCTTGTGTGTGCGTCAACCGCAAAAATGAGTTCGCGGAAGCTCAGGATTTCTGTGTATTTGTACTCATAAAAAATTATATCAAAAAATGAATGTGAACACCATACTTGGGCTGTGCCCACAGCACGGCACAGCGCTGTTGTTGTTCACGTGTCCCACGTGAAGCCGCGCGAAGGAGAGAGGGAGACGTGGCCTACGCGAGCAGCTGTCTGCCGACCAGCGGCACGAGGAGCGCGGCCAGGGCGGGCAGCAGGGCGGCGCCGGCGGCGGGCGCGGACGACACGGGTCGCTCCTCGAACTGGCCGATCCTGGCGGCGTACGCGGCGATGTGCGGGATCATGGCCTGCTCGTGCACGCCCGTGTACAGGTGCGCCCACGGCCCACGCGCGAAGATGCCGACGTCGTCGCCGCCGTGGGTCTCGCTCTCCAGGTAGACCGTGGCCGGGAACTCGTAGTCCAAGGCGTCTGCGAGGAAGAATATAAAAATCTAAATCAAGAATCTATCTTGAAAGCAAACGATACATATTTGGGAATAGGTCTGTTTTCTAATTTACAAAATTGTTAGGAAAGAAATTGCTTTATGGTCTGCGCTTGGGGCTCTGTCCTTACTGAAAGCTACCTGACACATTAAAGTTACTTAGTCACAAGGTTTTTAAGGTATCATCTGCCAAAAACCGAGGCATCAATTTGATCTCTGTACGCTGCAGGATAAATGATAAAGGAGCATCCAGTTTCTCCATGTGGAATGCGACCGTGCCTCTTCCGTAGTTATACTGTACCGCATGCATGCGGGCAAGAGGGCTGCCTACTCGCTCGGAGCATGGTAAACCCGCCCCAGCCGCAACTGAGCGTGCGGTACAGTACTGGACTACGGGTGTGCACGGGGCCAACCAGCCACCTGGTAAGTTTGGTAAGTTCTGGACAACGTTGAGACATTGGGGACATTTGCTCCCTTCGGGTTTTGCACCGGGTGTAACTGTGAATACGCAGCAGTGTTGCGGGTTTGCCTCTTCTTTACACCCGAAAGCGGCCAAGGCCCCTGCGACCATATTGAGTCTGCAATCCCGCAACACTGCCTGCGTTTTCACAGTTCCACCCGGTACACGACTCGCCAGAGCAGGACGTTTTCTCACCGGTGTCGTCGTTGGTGGGGTCGTGCACCGTGCCGTCGGGGTTGCGCGTGTGGTCGTTGAAGCCCATGCCGTTGGCGTAGCTCAGGGTGGTGTAGTGCCTGCCCTCGGACGTCTTGCCGGCGAACTTGAAGATGGGGTTGCCGCGCTGGGCGTAGCCGGACATGCTCATGGTGTGCGCGTGGTCGGACGTCACCACGATCAGCGTGTCCTCCTCGCTGGTCAGGTCGGCGGCCGCCTGGATGGCCTCGGAGAACTCCTGGGTCTCGCTGAGGGCACTGCAGACATGTGTAGATTCATATTTGTTAGTGTGGTTGAATAGCAGACCATTTCGCAAAACAACAATCCTATCAAGATAAAATTACGAAGTTTGATATCGCATTAGATAAATAGTCCCATAACACTCACAGGTGAGCCAAGGTGTCGTGGTGGCCGTGGTCGATGCGCCCACCCTCGACGAACAGCACGAAGCCCTTCTCCTGCCTGCTGAGCAGCTTGATGGCGGACGTCACCATGTCCTGCAGCCGCGGCTGAGTCTCGGGCGCTTGCAGGTAGTACTTCAGGTGGTCATACTCAAACAGACCTAAACGATAAAACAATGTGATGACCAATAAGCACGGCACACTCGAGAGCTTCACGGCTGATGAAGTTTCCACCGCGTTTGCGCTTTTTCCTTCGCACCCCCAAGAGGTTCCCTTACCCAGGAGGTAGTCGGTATTGGCGAAGTCCAGCTTCTTGAGGCCGTCCAAGTCCTCCACGTAAACGCCCTTCTTGTCCTTCTTGTCGTCCTTCCACTTCTCGATGAGGTTGGCGCCGTCCAGCCGGTTCCCCTTGGGGTCGACGGACTTTGGCACGAAGGCCCTCTTGCCGCCGCCCATGATGACCTGACGTTCGACGAAAAAGAAAACCCGCGTCAAAGTTTGCGCAGCGAGATGGGCTGTTTTGTGGACATGTTTGCCCCATTTCCACTCGTCCCTGCCCGCCCCCCTGAGCCCGGCCAACGTCCGCACGGCGCCGCAACACCTCAGGAAGGCGGATATAGGCAACACACGTCAACTTTGGCGCGAGACACGCTTTTCTCCTTTGTCCCCCCTCTCACTACACAGTATTTTTTGTCCTTATCGGACCGCCGCCGGCACTCGACGACTCACCCTAAAGTCTTTGCCGGGCGCCTCCTCCACGAGCTGCCGGGCGATGTCCTTGCAGCCGTCCACGTTGATGCCGTTCTTGTCGGCCAGCTTGTGCTTGTCGTCCTCCCACTCGCGGCTGGCCGTGTGCGCGTACGCGCCGCCCGGCGAGGCGTGCGTGATCCTGGTCGTGGTCACGACCCCCGCCCACTTGCCGGCCCGCATGCCCCAGGACAGGATCGAGTCCACGTGCGTCGAGTTGTCCACCTCCATGTTGCAGTCGCCCCTGAGCAGAGAAAGAAGGAGAAAGAAGCACGTGAATGGCCCAAATCGATTCAGAACTTCACCGCGAAGCACAATTTGTTTGCGCTTGTGCGGTTTAATCGAGCAGAGGTTCGACCTGTTGCGGTCTGTTTGCCCCGCAGCTGCAGACAGGTCCTCCAAGTGGCGCGCAGGGAAGTGAGAGAGGGAGGGGGAGGGTGAAGGGGGCTAGCTGCGTGATTTTGTTCTTAAGGGCAGGCGACAGTGTTGTGGCGTCCCTCCTTGATATCGCGATGCAGGGGGGAGAGAGAGAGAGCGAGATGCGAGAGAGAG